CAGCTGGTTGGTGTCCTTACAGACATTTTTAACACCTCGCTGGACAGATCCGTAGTGCCAGCATGCTTTAAGTCTGCCACCATTATTCCGGTTCCAAAGAAGCCTCAGATCACCTCATTCAATGATTACCGGCCTGTTGCACTGACTCCAATCAGGATGAAGTGCTTCGAAAGGCTGGTTAAAGAACACATCGTCTCCAGTCTACTGCAACATTCGACCTGTTCCAGTTCGCCTACTGACGGAACCACTCCACTGCGGAAGCTATCTCTGCTGCTCTCCGCCTGAGCCTGGCATACCTGGAGGAGAAGAACACCCACGTGCGGATGCTGTTCCTGGACTTCAGTTCAGCTTTCAACACCATCATCCCACAGCATCTGATGGGCAAACTGGAACAGCTGGGATTCAATACACCCCTCTGCAATTGGCTGCTAGAATTCCTCACAAACAGACCTCAATCAGTCCGTGTCCGACAGAACACGTCTGATGTCATCAGCCTAAGCACAGGCTCCCCTCAGGGCTGAGATAACAGAGATAACAGCCTGATCCTGAACGTGGAGAAGACGAAGGAGATCATTGTTGACTTCAGGAAGAACTGGCACTAACCACTTCCCTGATCATCAACAGCTCAGCTGTAGAGATGGTCAGCAGCACCAAATTCCTGGGGGTGCACATCACAGACACCCTCAACTGGACTGTAAACACCATCTCACTGATCAAAAGGGCATAAAAGTGCATGTACTTCTTGCGGAGGATGAGGAGAGCCCACCTGCCCCCACCCATCCTCCCCACTTTCTCCAGAAGCACCATAGAGAGCGTTCTGACCAGCTGTCTCACTGTGTGGTGTGGAGGCTGCAGCGCCTCAGACTGGAAGAAGGTGAGAAGAGTTATGAGAACAGCAGAGAGGATCATCGGGGCTCCTCTTCCCTCCAATAAAGACATTTCATCCCAGTGCTGAGTGTCCTGAGTCTGTATCTTTATGAATGACCCCTCACATCCCCAACATGGACTCTTCTCCCTGTTGCCCTCTGGAAAGAGACTTACAAGTATCCGATGCAGGCCCTGCAGATTCCAGAACAGTTTCTTCACTGCCATTAGGCAGCTGACTGTTGTTTAAATGAAGTTATAATACAAAAATAACAAAAAACCGTAATGTTGGAACCACCTACAAACCTCTTAAGAGCATTCCTTACCTCATGCCATGTCAACATTGTTCCTTCTGTACATAAAAAAAAAATCCCTTGCTCTTGTTGCTGGAATCTCATTCGATGTTCAGGCAAAAAGTCTGGGGTCAGGCTCTGCATCAAAAAGAGGAATTCTAGTTTTTCACTCAGGAGTAATCGTATGATAAAGTATGAGAACGAAAGACAGATTAGGGCCTTGCCTAAACAAAAGTTCTCAAAATGTGCAGCTTCCAACGCACAAAATGCTACCAATGTTGACTCATGACCCTGATTATTGGTTTAGTAATATATAGTATATTACTAAACTAGTATATAAAGAGTATAAAAAGATATCTACAGTATATAAAGTGTATATAAAGATATCTTCAAAATCAATTAACCACATGTGTAATAATATTACAAAAAGACTTACAGCAGTATTTGGTTTTCTCTTTTTTTAGGTGATGCTTTGATATCTTTAAGCACTTTAACATAAATGTTTATTGTTTATTTTGATTACTGTAGTGGATCTCAATGCCCCACACTGGTTGCTCGAGGACACAGTCATGACCTCAACTTTAAGATTCATTGAGCTTGAGAGTCTCAGAGACAAGGTGAGAAGCTCTGTCAGTTGAGGGGACCATGGATTTAAACTATGGCTTCTGCTTGTCAAATTAAATATTGTGAGATTATTTGGGCATGTGATGGGGTTGGATCCTGGGGTTCTTTCTTTGGAGGTTTTTGAGACACTTCTCACAGGGAGAAGGCCTTGGTACAAGCCCAGAACTCACTCTAGGCAGATGCTTTTTTTTTTTTTTTTTTTTTTT